AATAAATTCGTCAGAAATCCGTCTCTCGAAAATAACTCATTTTCTTATAGTGTCTTCCTTATAAATGCCACGATGCTTTTTTAATTATTGCTGCTTCTTAGTAGACTTATTTTCTTTAAAAACCATTTACATATTCTCAGTTCATTATCAAATTTTCATATATACAATCAATTTCTAAACTAATGAAATTTGTACCGCAATCATTTTAATATAACTACTCATCTCATCTCCCTTCACTTTGCACAACAATATAATTATAATTTGCCACTAACCAAACTAAACTATTAACTTCTCACATTTCCATTCCACCCATTTATCTTAAGACAATTATTTATTAATATATATTCTTCACATATAAATACATAACTATCAGTCTAATTTTGTGGTCAACTATCTCCTAAAATTATTTTAGGATTATACAAAAGAAATTTCATTTCTTTCTAAATAAAAAAAATAGTTGTCATGATGATGTGTCTAAGAAACCCTGAAATAATGCCTAAGTTAAAAGGAGCAAATTCTAGAAGAGTAAGGCTTACGAACCTGAAGTATTGGACAGATGAAATGACTTGGAGGAGTAGGCGGAGTACAATTTGCCAGACTCTTGCCTTCATCTGCTCTGTTTCTTAACCTTTCAAGAACTGGAAGAACCTGATCCTCCAAATTGGGCCTATCCTTCCGTCTTATCTCAGCACAATTCAGACCCAGAAGAGCTAATTCATGTGTTTCCTTTTCAGGCCATTCTCCGGCCTTAGAATCCAAAATATCACATAAATTGCCACTCTCTAAAGCTGATTCCACAATGTGAGCAAGTCCTATTGGTGGTCTACCTGTAATCAATTGCATGATAACAATACCAAGAGCATAAATATCTGATTTTGGGGAGACTTGGCCAGTTCTTTGGTACTCGGGATCAATGTAGCAAATAGTAGCAGATGGGGATGGCGAATTCTACCGAGGATATCAAGCTGGAGAAAATTGAATAGCTTATTATTCTTGACTTGCCTATGATATGTAACTATATACTAGCCTATCTACGCATGCAATGCAAGTGAAAATAGAAACATGGATCTCGTCGTCAAAATGTATGCATAAAGAGAGATTAACATAGATAACATTTTCTATTTGCAGTTCACTATCTGACTATGGATTTCATGCTCTCAAAGGTATCTTCATTTGTTTTATTGAAGTAAATCAAAATTTTCCACTCATTGATTTATTCAACCACATAAACTTATTTGAAACAGTTTAAGATACCAACATAGGTTTGATGTTATAAAATCAAGCCTGAGTAAAAATGAAAATTCTAAAAAAAAATATACCAAAAAGAAAGAAAAGCACTCCAATCCCTAAGATACTTTCCTTTAAAGTGATCTCTTCATCTCTTTTTCAACCTAATTTCTTTGAGCAATCAACTTTTCAAGTAATGGATTAATAGTTTTCAGGAAGATAATATAAATATCAATCAAAGAAGATTCATCAAGCTCTACGCTAGGTTGATTTCAAGTACCTGGTCCACAGAGGTTGTCAAGTCAGCTGCAGTACCATCCACTATTAAAGAATCAGCAGTAAAGGAGCTACTACAACCACCAATTACGTTACTACGAAACTGTTCTGAAAGGGTTGTAGAGGAACTCCAATTATCTTCAGCGGTGAAAGATGAACTTCTGTTAAGGATAGTATCAAGGCTACTCAGACTGTCAAAACCATTGTTCATATTTGAAATAAACTGGTCACTCTGAAAAGGCGGTGAATGGACTTCATGAATAAAGGGATTCATGGTAATACCTGTTTCCATGAAAAATTAAAGAATGTTACTAAGTGGATTCATATCAACATATATACAAAACAGGTAGAAAATAATAAATGTTAGTCGTGCAAGCTTTCAAAATGAAGTTCTTTCCTTTTCCAAAAAAAAAAAGTAGTTGTTTACAGATGCATGCAATGGCAGGTTTTATGAAGCACATGCAAATACTTAGACAAGGCCGCCTTCTGCAGCTGCTTAAGTTAATAAACTTCAATGATCATGTATACCTAAATCAATTAGGGTCTGATCGAGCCAATTTTGACTCGACCTAAACTGATTTTGATCGATTCGGGTCCGATCGAGCCAATTTTGCGAAATTGGGCTCGAATCAACGTCGAAATTGGTTCAACGAGGCTAGATTAGATTCAATTTCGATCGATTTTGGGTCGATTCAATCGATCTGAGTTTAATTTGGTACAATTGAGCTTAATTTAATAACATTATTGTTCGATTAAAGTCAATTTTAGTTCCATGGTGCTCGATCGAGTTGATTTAGCTCAGGGCTGAGTTGATGCGAAAAACACATCAACAATGCATATGATAAATATCCAAAGGATGTTCATAAAGAAGTTTCACCACCTCCTTCATTCCATGCATCCCTCTAAACTTTACAAGCATTTCCAACAATACATCATTAGAATATTCTCCCAATCCAATATTCTAAGACTACTCCTTCCTCCATCACCCTTAAAACAACTCGGATCTCCGTTATCTACTTCATATTTGATCTCCACATATTTCCTTAATATTTCATGGAGATTGTAATCCCTCCTTACAACCTTAAGCTCCACCACTAATACAATATTCCAAGACTAATCATATATATCTAACTTAGATCAGCTTGACCTAATTTTAGCTTTTCCATATCATTTGGCCTCTAAACCACTTCAACTTTAACAAATACTCCAAATCACATTTGAGGACATTACCCAAACATTGCCAAGTGCTTTCATGCGTTAGATCCTCCACCATAATTAACCCTAGATCCAAATCCCCAATGAGAGTTGTAGGGTTGGCCAAGACATAACCCTTTAGCCGACCACCTCTCATATAAAACTATTCCAACCACTCAAGGGTTTCCACCATATCACCAGCCTCCTACTACAACAATTGAAAGACTTGGATCAATTTCTCAAGGCTAGATCATCGAACTTGGTGGTGGCTGATCTCCTTCTCTTCGTGTTCTTCTTGATGGAGGACAATGATATCCATCTTCTATTTGTTGATATCTTTCACAAACTATCAGAATATATTCTTTCATCTGTCTAGCATCAAACTTTAAAACTCTTCTTAAAGCAATCGACCAAATTAGTGATCCTCTTAACCTAGTTTTGGTTCTCCTTCCTCCATCAGCCTTAAAACACCTTGAATCCCCACCATCTGCTCCAAGTCTAATCTCCATATATTCTCCTAATATTTAATATCCATTCCAATCCATTCTTACACCCTTAGGCCCCTCCACTAACACAATATTCCAAATCTAGTCAAATATGTCCAAACCAGGTCACATTGACCTAGACTTCACTTTTCCACATCCTATGGCCTCTAAACCACTTGGAACTTCACCAAATACTCCACATCTCATCTAAATTTATTACACTAACATTCCCAAGTGGTTTCATGCCCTGGATCCTCCATAATAAAAATCCATAAATCCAAATCCCCAAGAGGAGCTCTAGAGTTGATCATGACCTAACATCTTTGCCAACCCCTTTCTTTCAACCACCACCTAAATAAAATAATTCTAACCACTCAAGTTTGCTGACCACATCCTTAGCCTCTCATCACAGCAATTGAAAGCGATGGATCATTTTCCCAAGGCTAAATCACTTGGCAAAAAAACTCATTATCATGAAAGAAAAATGAAAGACATATCTAGTACTTTAAAACATGTTTAGTGGGTTTTGAAGCTTGGAATGATTTAATTTAGAACAAATAAAAACTATTTGTGTACCAATATCCATATAACCTACCAGATTGTCCTGTTGAAGAGTCGGGAGAAAAGGATAAAGCAGGACACGAGCTACTTTCATCATTTGTCACCTCATATGCTCCTGATATCGCTGAACGAATGGATGCCAACTTACCTTTGGAAACTACATAAACTGTGCAGAAGCTAGGACTGCATCTTGCAATATTTGAAGATAGCTTGTTTCCCTTCCTGCAAATCATTTCAAATCATAAAATTTTAAAGCATACAATGCAAATATCACACCATGTGTCATTACATTTTGAAAATACATGCATGTTATAATCATGAAGCTAAAAATAGTCCCGGCTGCAAATAGAAACTAGAAAACAAACATCTACAAAGTGAAATTCAATTGTTGTAAACAACAATTGCAGAACAGAAAATGCCTTCCCGAAGTTCAACTAAAATCTAGTAAAAGAAATGCAAACATTTAAAACCAACCAATTTTCCTTCCAATTCAGAACATTCAATAGGATATTAATTACCAAGATATGGACATCTAAAATAGTGAGACATTAATAATATGAGAAAACAAAATAAATTCTCACAAATTCAAGAGAAAAAACGAGTTCCTAGATCGTCAAACTCTTATAATATAAATTTCTTTAGAACAGTTTCTTTCAAAGTTTCTACAAGTACAAAATATCAACAATTATACATGTATGCAGACCCAGAGATCCAAAGCCAACTATACTTGGTCTATAAACAAATTTGAGTAGGTTTTTGACGGGAAAAACCATAAAGCAGACCGACCTATCAAATAGCCTTGCTTGGATAGTATTGTTGGCGGACCTTACCAAAAAATTTGCATTAATAACAATACAAAATTATCGGATCTTAACACCCTTAGATTCCCAACACCAAGAAGCCATCTTCCAACACAGCAACTTCACCAGCAGTTTCCCGCAAGAACTTTCCGGTATCTACTCAGTTCAGAAGGGACAGTTACCTAGCGAATGACTAATTTCAAAAATATGATTTGTCATTTACCTATGTAAATGATGTCTTTATCATTGATCCATTGATCAATTGTGACCGCAATGCCTCAACAAAAAGGAAGCACAAAAGTATAAAGGATTGTGAGATGCACCAACATGATCTCAAAATGAAAACAAAAATCAAAAGGTTTGAATATTACAAGCTCATTCAACTGATAGGTGACATCCTTCATCAACCCCTATTTTGCTTCTTCTGATAGTGATGTCATGGATCTTTAGATGATAGGGAATATAATGTTGGCACAATTGATTCATCACCCTCAAAAAGCCATAGGATCATCCTAATGGCCACTAATTACTTTCTGAATAGAGTAGAAAAAATACCACTAAGAATAGTCAAAGAAAATAATGTGATGTTGTTCTTTGGATATCATATTATTTACATGTTTAATCATCTTAGATAACTTCATTTCTTTTAAAAGCAAAAAAATCTTTAGATTCTGCTGTCACCAAATAGACCAACAATATTCAATAATTTATTATCATAGGGCATGCAAGAACCGGTCAGACCATTTCATTAAGCTGGCGAGCAGGGCCTTGCGGACGAGCAGGATCACGAAATAGGTGATCCGAGCAGTGGCGTGCAACGTGTATACGCCTATTTGAACGATTTTTTTGTCGTTCTAACTGACTAATTGCATTCAGGAGTGAAATTATTAGCGACTCCTATGTCATACCTTCAATTCCATTATTTCTTTTGGAGCAAATCGTGTGAGAAGTTCAGTTGAGAGAAACGGCTATGAGGAAGAAGGAAGAAAGTAAGTTTCCAATTTCATTTCTTTTGACATTTTCTTCTTCTGTGATTTAATACTAAGAAAAGATAAGTTATTTTAAAGGGAGATAGAAGAAGAATTTGAAAAAGAAAGTGAAGAAAATTCTACGGTAAACAAATCAGTGAATTTTTTATTTATATTGATA